TGTTTCTACAATTCTGAGAAAAATAAATGTAAATTCTTAAATTAAAACTAGAAGGAGATATCCTTAGAGGTCTTTTGTTTAGGTATAAAACAATCCTCAGTATCTTTACATATTCACCATTCTAGGCATCCTATATTAATATGAGCTCTGAAAAGCCTATTAATGCTAAAGCATAATTCACATTTCCTTAAGTACATTTTAGTTTTTAAAAATAATAAAGGGGAAATCTTTTTTAAAATTAGGAAGGCTAAAAGAGCTTCCCCAAAGCATTTTATTATCAAATACTTGTAACAGGAAAATTAGCTGTGAGAAGAGAGATCATGCTAATTTCTTGTAGCTATTGTTAGAAGTGTGAAAACTTTATTTTTATATCCAATAAAAATAAAGTTTTAAAAAATAGTTACATAAATGTTGTATAAAACACAAATTATTGTATTGATATTCAAAATACATTTGTTAATTGAAATGAAATTTAAGATAAGACTAGAGCAATAAATTGGCATAAAATAAATTTGACTGTTCTAATTATAGATACACACATTTCCTGAGAAGATTACAAGGGAATTCTAAAATTATCCAAGCACTTATTTCAAGTGGAAGAAATGGTTACATTTAAAATATCTTCAACCCAAATGTGCTTCATGGTCATTTATAACAGGTCAAATGAAATTGCTCCTTAAAATCTGAGTGGCTGGTATGATAACATAGATGGATCTTGAGATTATTATGCTAGGCAAAATAAGTCAGACAGAAGAAGCCGAGAACCATATGACTTCACTCATATGCAGGATATAAAACTAAAAGCAACAAAGGAACAAGACAAACAAATGAAGAAAAAAAACCTCATAGACATAGACAACAGTTTAGTGGTTACCAGAAGGTAAGGGGGGAAAGGGGATGGTAGAAGAGGGTAAAAGGTGGTCAAATATATGGTGATGGAGTGGTCCATACATCATGATAATTTTTGGAATATAATTATCTGCAGTACTGAAAGGCCATTAAAGTAATAATGTACATATAATAAATGTAGAACTGTAACACATTGAGGCAGGTACTCAACTTATTTGAAGACAATAAAACACTTAACAATAAATTTATATATAACTTTGAACTATCTTTAAAACAATTTTTTTTTACTTTTACTGAAAACAAACTAAGGCAAGGCAGTATTTATTTCTTTATTTGACAGGAGCAGTATATTATCTTTACTCTAGTAACTTCACCCAAATAAGAATTTATTAGCTAACATGCTATTAGTAATGGAGCCAATAAAATTTATAGATTAAGCTTTATAAAAATTAATTTTTCCAAAGTGTAGCATGTTTTATTTTTATATTGTACCCACCCATGATTTTGGGAGGAATACTGTTGATGGTATTTATACAAGATTATTTTCTTGCTTCTCCATTTTTCAATAGACCCATAGAACTGTGTTCCTTTTAAGATAAAATTGTCCTTTTATTTTATTTGTGCAAACACCTTAGTAAGAGTAACTAGCCTCAGTTTGGACTCATTGATGTGTAGATTCATATACTTACATCCTCTGTGAAGACGTCTTGGTTTTGACATTGCTCAGGGAAAAACCATCCGAAGACTTTCTGTCCTTCAGCTGCAGAAGCTTCTCTGGCTGCAGGTTGAAAAACACATGTGATAACTGTTTTGAAAACTGTCTTAATTAATTCACCTTGCCTTAAATACGAACTCAACTAAGTTGATTAGTCCTATTTCATGCCAGAAATGTTGCCCTCCAATATCCTCTACAGATAGACAAAAAGACGTTAAGCCCCAGGACAGCGCACTACAGTGTACACAAACCTGTCTCAGAGTTTAGCCTTTAGTTTAATCCTTTCTTAGCCTCTAAGATGCTTTGTGGGCATTCACTTAATGCCACTCTTCAATTTGACAGAGGGGGAAATACTACGTGAATAAGTAATAAGCTCTTCTTTGATAGAAATATAACCTATTTCATATTTCCAACAAGTTTTGAGTAGAAAGTTTCCTTTTGCAAGTGGGGAAAAAAAACTAAGTTATTTTCCACAGAGCTGCAAAATTAAACAAAAGATGGCAGTCTGTTTAAGGAAGAAGCTTCTAGAATTGACAATTGTACTTTCATTCTCAAAGACAGTGAGAAAAACCCTTCATAGTCCGTGTGAGAGCGACACTCTATATAAAAGAGAAAACATGAAACTTTGAAAATATGAGCTGTTTTATTTACCAGAGAAATAGAGAATTTAGAGCCTTGAAAAAAATTTCATTTTTTTTATTCCTAGTAATTTACTAGTGGAAATTGCAAAATAAGAATTCAATATAAAAATTTAAAGTTGTAGTACAAGTAATGCTTTAGGCTTCTAGTTTGAAGATAATTTGTTCCTTTTTTTGACACATCTTTATATTATTGGCTATGGAGGTCATTATAAGAAATACCATATAGAACTTACTGATTTCACTCTGCGGTTGTTGTCATAAAGCAATGGTCAACAGCAGGGACTTCAATGACTAACAGACCCAGTCAAGTCCCAGACTCGTCAGTTAGGAGCTGTACAACCTGGCCAACTTATTGAACTTCTCTGAGCCATGGTTTCCTCATCTCAAAAGAGCCTCATAGAGGTTTTCTGAGATGTAGGGGCAACAATGTAGGTAAAGTATTTGGAGAGTTCCCATTAAGCGTTAGCTATTATGTTAGGTAACTACATTACATGGAGTCCTCTATTGAGGATCCATAGGAAAAAATTTTCTCAGCCTGCAGTACTAGGAGTAATTAAGCATTTTCCAGAGGAATCAGACCAAAACAAAATGTCAGAAATCATATAACTAGTGAATTTCTTTCTTTTCATTGGCTAGTGGGAAGCTCGACCTCCCTTTAGGCTTGCATTTTAAAACTAGAAACTATTTATGCTTTCATACTGTTTTTCCTAACATTATTTTCCCTTTGCCATGATTTCTTTACTAAACTGCCTCTTTTATTGTATTATATGTACATTTTGTAGTTTCTGCTAATAAATTGTAAATGCATAGAGATTTTCATCACTCTGGTAGTCCTCAGATTAGAAGAGCTTGTGTCTCAAATATCTGTTGATAACGTTGCTCAACGAGAACTTATAAATTCATTGTTTTCATACAAGCAACATCCTAAAGGGTAATTTCCTGGTCAGCCCATAAGAGCCCATCAAACAGTGTTAGCACCAGTCCTCATTTCAATATGGAGCTACCATTTATTATTCTGTTCTTCTGAGAATGTGATCAGAGCACCATGGGGCTTATGAATGGCATGGTTTCTCCTGATTCAACCCTGGATAAATTTCTAGATCCCCACTTGCAGTTGTTACTTCCCTTACTCCCATACACCAGCCGCTGCTATAAGCGTGAGGCTGAGGATGCATTAAGGCAGGAAGGTAGTCTGGGAGCCCTGACATGGGGGGAGTAGGACAAAGAGTGGCTTCTGGGAAGTCTAGGCTGATTGGAAGTGGCAGAGAAGACATAGAAACTTCTGGTATCCTGGCTGTGCTGATTGTTAAAATACTGAAATTCTCCCACTGTGATTAGAAAATAGCCACTGCCTTGAGCCCCCAATTCAGTGGCTACAGCATCAACTCTGAGACACCCCCACCCCACAGTACTGCCTCTGGAGGGATAGCTGCTGACACAGCAGGGGGCCTGCAGGTCCCCACTCCATCATCTCAGCCAAAATCCAGTCAAACCGGTCTGTACTGGGGGTGGCTGCTGCTGAATGAGAAAGAAAGATCACAGTGCTGAGAAGCAGTGAGTCCTCTGAAAGTGACAATTGCCAAAGGAGAGGAAGTGGAAGGCTCACAGGGCCCTCACTGTTTTGGGAAGGATGAAAGAAGCTCCACAGGGAGAGGAAGAGGTAAGGATGAGAGACCGGCAACGGCCGTGGGGCTTCTTTATTAATCGTTCAGGGGTGTTGTAAATTTGCACCTTACACTTAGTACAAGGAAATCTTCTTTATTTTCTTGCAGCTGATCTAGTCTACTTCAAAGATCCTACTCTCAGAATAAGAGGTGAGAAACTAGGTTTAGTTCAATCTGGTAAGTTCGCACCTATCCAACAATGTAAAGCAGCGGTTCTCAACCTTTCACAGGGGTTGCCTAAGATCATCGGAAAACACATATTTTCGATGCTCTTAGGAAACGAGACACCGCTCCTCTATCCGTCTCCAGGTCCACATGCAGATACGCCCACATATGAGTACCCAGCGACCCCTGTGAAAGGGTCGTTCCACCCCCAAAGGGGCCGCGACCCACAGGTTGAGAACTGCTTATAAAGCATCAGTATTTCTCAGGTTGCTTAGTCTATTCCGAGATTAAATGGCCTCCTTTGGATTTTTTATCCATCTTCTTTTCTCCCTGGAGATGGCACGTGTGCAGAGGGGTGGACAGCTTGTAGTGCCCTTGTGGCGGAGGAGTGAGGGAGGGATCTTGGAGCATGTCGTCGATGGACCATGTACTGCCCTTCGCCTCTCGTGGTGCTGCCTCAGGCTGGGGGTTCTGCTGGCTTCCCATTCTAATGACATCATTGCATAGCCTGTTCCCAGGAGGCCTTACCTGTTACCTCAGCATCTAACACAGCAGAGCCCCTGAGGTTTGGCCATTCATTCCCTGGCTTATGTGGTCCTCCCTGTAGCCCCTGACCACAGAGTTACTTTTGCCCTGGCATTGATAACCACCTTTAAAAAGCTTCCCAGACAGAGTGTCTGCTACTCTAATTGTCACACAAGAGGATGCAGGCACTTCTCGGTCCTTCGTTCCATACCGCTCAGGATCACTCAAGAAAGCTAGCTCAGATTCCCTCTCAGCCTGGCCTCTTGGCAATCCTAGGTTGTACCATGGCCCTCTGTTGGGATGTTTTCTTCCAGGAAAACAAACGAGAGGTGCAGCAAGAGTCCTTTTGTACTTAGTGTCTCCTCTACTCATCTACACAGCACGCCTCTCCTGGACTCTATGATACCCTGGGTGCCCCTGGAATCAAAGTGGAGGCTACTGTCTTCTTGACTTTCTGGGACTTTCTAGATGTACAACTGTGAGCAGGCCTCCAGTCCTGGCCCTTGATATGCTAACCAGTGGGGATGATCTGAAATTAGGTTATCCATTGTCTCTGCACAAAATCTAGTTTTAAGGACAAATGTCTCAAGTAATTAAGTGATAAAAGGAAGTGTGGGACTCAAAGCCAGTCTACCACAGCCTCTCAGATGATGAAAGTTCTTTCTCCCCACTTCCTGCAGCAATAATCTTCATGGCCTTACCTCTGAGACTAAGAAGTGGCTACTGCCTTTATATCTTCACATCTTTGTATCATCCCCATCTATTTAGAGAATATAGAGTTAGCTTTCAAATTTTGTTTATTACTGAAATTCTTACTGACTAAAGTCAGTGACTTCTCTGAGTGTGGTGAGGATACACTGAAAAATAAAAATTGCTTTAAACTATTTTATATCATCATTTGTTTTGATACTGACACATGTCTGATCCACTGAAATTATTTTCTCCTGTACTGTTGAGAGCTCTTTTCCTGGAAGATAATCATGGAAGTATAAAAATGGACTATGATAGGATTTATTCCAAGTATACTTTTTCCATGTAAACAAAAGCCTTCCAAAGAAAGAATAAGAAATATTTCTTCCTTATCTGTTTTCCCTTCCTTTGCCCAGAATGTAGATGATAATTATTTAATGGTCTAAAGATATTGTAAAAATTGGGATCTCTAGCTTAATGAGATTGTGATTCATTTGTTAAAAATATGGTACCAATAGGGCCGGCCGAGTGGCTCAGTTGGTTAAGAGCTCGCTCAAGAGTTTGAGCTCTGAGCAACAGCAGTTCGAGTCCCAGCCCGAGCTGAGCAGCTGCTGAGCTACCAACAGGTGGCAGGATGGCTCAGCTTAAAAAATATATATATATATGGTACCAATAAATACATTCTTCTAGTTGTTATATGCTATTTTAATGCTTCTAACAATTAACAGAAGACTGTGTTTGGTACAAGCCTTGAATGAATTAAAGTATGCGCTTCTGCAAATAACTGAATTGCAAATGACAAACATAAAACAAATACTTTAATTCAATTTGCATATATTTATATCTGTGAAGTATATTACTATATTGTTAAAATGGCAATTCCATTGAATCAGTGATCTTTGGTTCATCTCTTGTTTTTATGCAGTATACAAGTGGACAATAATTTAGAATAGTGAAATAAGAAAGACAATCAACAGAGGTTTTTGTTTCTTTAGATACTACTTTTAATTGTCATTTTTCTTAATTTTCTTAATTTAATAAAGTCTCACTCTCCTTAATATCTATTCAAAAATAAGATTACTTATTATTTTATCACTTAAAATCTTACTAAGATTTAGAAAGCCATGAACCCTGAAAAAAATAATACTCGAAAATTATTTCTTGCATGGCAAAGTGCTTTTAAACAACATTTGATTTTAATGGCCATAAAATGCTGAACCCATGAAAACTAATGCTAAAAACATGGGTCTGGATTTTAGTTTATAATCTGCATCTTTTTCTTTTTCTTATTTATTTATTTTTTTTGCAAAAGGCCCCTGTTTCTTGTACATGATTCCCTGTCCCCCGCTCTTCACTACTGATAATAGCATAAGAACTAAGCATGAAAAATAATTGACAAGGAATAGAAAATAAATTAGACTAGGAAACAAAAAGATGTGACATTTAACTTCAAACAGGAAAATTATTTTTAAAGGATCATTAAAATAATTGTACTTGTAAATTGTAAATTGCTTGTTGATTTTTTTTTTTTTTT